GGCCCCACTGTGCCCCGCTCCGCCCCTCTTCCTCACCTGTGACCTTTGCCCTCTCAGCATGTGGCACACTCCCTCCTCTGCCCTCTCTCCAGGCACAGGGGGCTCCTCAGGCTCTTGGGGGAGGGGGAGGCCCTCTAGGAATGGGAGCCTACTGGAAGGTGTTAAACCTGCCCCCTCCGTGGCCCCAGAATTGAAAGGGGGGACACCAGGGTGCCTTGCCCAGACCCGGTACCGGCTGCCTGAGTCATAGGGGTTTTCAGGTCCCTTTCTTCATTGGCGGTGCCACTCGACCACGGAGTGATTGAGGGTCACTTCTGCCCCAGGAGAGACTGAGATGAAATTTTAGGCCGTGTGTGTGTGTGTGTGTGTGTGTGTGTGTGTGTGTGTGTGTGTAAGATGAGGTAGACTTCACATCTCATCTTGCTGGAGGCTCAGGCCTGTCTTGACCTCCAGAGGTGGAGAGGTGGCTCTACAGGGCATGTGCACGCATATACGTGCAGATATACACAAGGCTATGTTACATAGGTTGTTCATTCATTCATTCATTCATCCATCACTGATCTCCCTCTGGGCTCAGAAGGACTCAAGGTGCCTCTTCTCTGTATCTGTGGGTGCACGGGCCAGGGTATCTGTGTGGGTGGGTTTGCGTGCAGGGCTGCTGGAGGCGGTGGTCCCGAGGGAGGGCTGTGCTTATAAGTGAGCATCTGTGTCCGTGTTTATGTTCTGGCATCTCTTCCACGTTGCCTTGGTGTCGCTCCCCGCGCTGCCCAGAGGGTATAAGTGGTGTTTTGGAGAAAAGACCCCTGGAGCGAACCTGGTGCAGAGGCTGGAAGACGGTCCCTCCTCTCAGCTTTGGCATTGGGCCCCTCTCCCAACTGGGTGGGGCGAGCCTACAGCAGGACCCCGGGATCCAGGGCCCTCCAGCTGGGCACTGGAACCCCAGGCAAGCAGGACCACCTAACCCTTGGCACTGCTCCTGCCCTCCCTGGCAGCCCACTCAGAGTGGCTGGTCCAGTAGCAAGGAGTCCCCCCCCCTTAACAGGCTCCCCCAGACCCAGCGCTGG